AGGGATGGGGCAGCGACCACCTCTCTGGGCAGCCTGGGCCAGGGGCTCACCACCCTCAGCAGCAAAAGATTTCTTCCTTCTCTCTAGTCTAAACCTCCCTCTTTTTGTTTCAAACCATCCCCCCTTGTCCTGTCCCAACAGGCCCTGCTCAAAAGTCTGTCCCCAGCTTTCTGACAGGTCCCTTCAACTCCTGAAAGGCCCCCAGAAGGTCTCCCCAGAATCTCTTTTTCTCCAGGCTGAACAACCCTCCCAAGAGCTTAGGTCAGAGTCAGCAGGAGTCACAGAACAGCTTTGTTGGGTTTTTTTTTGGGAGGGGGGGGTTATGACATCCCCACTTTCTGAACCATCAAGCTTGCTTCCTCCCCACACCCTCTGCAGCAGAGGCTGTTTTGCTGAGCTCCTGGGGCCACACTCCCACACCACAAACACTTCTGCCTGGGGTCAGTGGGGTCAGTGCTCTGCCAGCCCCACGGGGAGGCATTAATCACCACACACACCCTGGCACTGCTGCCTCCTGGGCAGACACGTAGCAGCCAGGACAGCAGCTGTGGGGCAGAGGGGAGCCAGGGAGGGCAGATCACTGATTACAACTCAAGCTCCAGCTCACTGGCATTGCTGGGGATCTGGGGAGTATCTCCAGGGCTGTGATAGTGGAAAACTCCTGAAGGACGTGACCAGAGGAGGGTGATTTCAGAGGGACTGCAATCCCTGCAGATAGAAAGGGCTTTCTGGCCTCAAGTTGCCACATCAGGCAGTTCTGAGAAGCACAGGCTGTGAATGGGAGGGATCAGGGCACACAGCAGCTCCTGGCCTCCTCCTCTGCTGTGTCCACCCTGGGGCACAACAGGAAAGCATGTGGGGGACCCACACATGAAGGGCAGGACTCTGTCACCCCCCTCCATGCTGTCCTTTCACCATCTCCCCTGAAATGTCACCACATTTCCACTCTCCATGTCCACAGGAATGTGGTGTGAGGACAGGGTCCTTGTTTAGCAGCCAGGAGGGCTTCACTGGCAGGGGTCAGGACCCACCTGGACATCCCTGAGACTCCTCTGGCCTGAACAAAGTCTGACCTTCCCACCCATCCTTTACCAGCCAATCTGGGCAGAAGCCAAACATCCAGAGCACTCAGTGGGTGACCTTCCAAGGAGGTCTCCTGGATGTGGACTTCCCAGGAGCAGAGGAGAGCTACCTCCTCTTCCACCAGCTCAACCAACAGGCACTAAGGACACCTGGTCAGGCACTGGGCCTGCCCAAGGAGCTGGTGGAGTCCCCATCCCTGCAGGGGTTCAAAAAAGGAGTAGATGTGGCACTTGGGGACATGGTTTAATGGTCATGGGAGTGTTGGGTGATGGTTGGACCTGATGATCTTAGAGGTCTTTTCCAACCTTAATGATTCTATGATTATCTCATCCAAGCCCACTGGAGCAGGGTCACCCACAGCAGGGTGCCCAGGGTCACAGCCAGGCAGGTTTGGGATCTCTCCAGAGCAGGAGACTCCACA